ATGGGAGAATGGGAGAAGAGAAAAGCCAAGCCTCGCCCAGCCCCACCCCACCCCCAAAACTCTGATTACCAGCTGTGATAGGGTTGAATGAGTATTTAAGGAAGCTGGGTTCAGACCTGTTGGGACTCATTACCTGTTGTTAGGCGTTGGGATGTTCTGTGAGTGCTGCTGAGCTGAAATAAAAGGCTATATTTATCCTCTTTAGGATGAAGAGGCTCTCAACTGGCCTCAGTTAAAGTAAGTTAACCTGATGATGCTGTAACGGAACAGGCTGAGCTCTGGTGTTGCTGTGGTTTAGAGCTTGCTGAACTAAACTTGCCTCTGCTAGCAAATGTGGTATTCACCGAGGTGTTTTGTCTGCTGTGCTAAAGCTCTACTACTGGGGTAATGACTAAAGAATGAGCAAATGCATTCTGGCTCTAAGGGTTCAAACTGCAGTTTCAGGGCTATTTTTGAATTACAGAAAACATTATAAACTCAGCAGGCTTGCTATGAAGAGCCTGAAAATCTGAAGTCAGAGTTAAGTTCCCTACTGCAATGGTGATAGGGTGGCGTTTTGTCTCTCCTTCAAGTTTATATTAAAATACAGGCAGATATATAAAAATAGGCAGATATGACTGTAAATTGAAAAACTGGGTGTGGTGGTCTAGCTGATTCCTGTGAAAGCCACCATCTCTGTTGTCCTCAGTGATGAAGTTTGTCACCAACTCGTTCCCCAAGAAGTGGCATGACTCGGGGCACTACGTATTCTGTAGAAAGGTGTAGGTGGAGCTGTGCTCTAGCTCTCTGCTTTGAGCCCTTGTGCAGGTCTGGCTTGGAGTCGCAAGATCACGTGTGTGAAGGTGCAAGGTGTGGGGGGTCATGGAGTCAGACACAGCCCTGGGAGGACAGATCATGTGAGTGATGCAGAGCCAGGCGCGTGCGGGCAATCGAAGCCCGGTGTGCCAGTGTTCAGTGACTTTAAATGCTGCACAGATGTGAGATTCCCCTAATTTGTGATCCTTCTACTAGTAATCCCAATGCAGACAAGTCAGGGATGTGGTCTCCTTAGAGACAAATCATGGAGTCACTGCAAAGGAAAAATGTGTATCAAAGAGTAGTGCAGGTTCTTGCCAAAATATATTTACGAAGTGATGGCTTTCAGCCTTCACATGCTGCTGCGTGGCAGTGTCCCAGTGCACCAGTGATACTCGGGCTTTGTCCCTAAGGGGGCATTCTCAGTATGCCAGTTATTCTCCTTCACCCTTCCTTTGTTATGATAACTGTGGCATTTTATA